GTGGGATGCGTGGTGCGCAGGGCTTCGGGCGCGTTTTGAGCCGATCGCGGCCTCGATTTCGGCGCGTCAGAAACTGCGCACTTGGCGCCAGCTCGGGTCGGTTCAAGACTACACCAGCGGTTTTCTCGCACTTTGCGAACAGGTCGGCTACATGCACGAGGCGGAGCGGGTGGACCGTTACGTCGGAGGGCTGAAGCCGGACATATCGCACGAGATAATGCTACGCGGGCTATCGAATTTCAACGAAATCCTCGCGCTCGCCGAGAAAATCGATATCCTACGCCGACCGAGACCGGGGTCCTATTTCGGACATCGCCCTCGGGGACCGATCGAGCACGCCACTGTACATGCCGTCGCAACGAATGCAGCTGCCACGCCATTTAGAGGGCGCTGCTTTGCTTGCAACCGGCCGGGCCATCGCAAGAGCGAATGTCCAGAGGAGCTGAGGCGTCGAGGAGAAGAGCAGGGGAAGGAGTCTCAGAGGCAGGGAAACGCCAGCAGTCAGTAGAAGTTGGGCCAACTACTGACGAGACTGCCTGCTCGCCCAACCACACCGACCCTCACCGAGTCACAGTACCGATTCACGCCATCGATCGGGCTCGGATGAATAAGGAGGGTACAGCGACGGATTGCCCGGTACTGATCTACGGGAAAATACAGGGAGCAGCAGTGAAAATCTTCATTGACGGAGGAGCAAGTCACAGCTTAGTTAATACTGCAACCGCACGGAAATTACAGTTAACACTTAACCGATGTTTACCTGAGATAGATGCACGCTTAGTCGACGGCACGCCATTGGCCATACGAGAAAAAGTGGAGCGAGTAAAAGTCCGCTGCGGGGGAAACTTCGGGTTTACACAGGAAATGCTCGCAACGACGCTGGATGGGCACGACATTTTACTGGGACGTGATTGGCTGCGACGGTACAACCCACGGATCGACTGGACGACGGGGAGCTGCACAGTGCGAAGTAGCGGTAACTGGGCCGTCCTACCTCGCTGGCGGCCACCCGAATCTTCGACAGTCCAGGTCAACGCCATCGCGATGAAACGAGCTGTCGCTGCTGGAGCTGACGTGTACGCAGTGGATATCGCAGTGGTAGAAAAAGACGAGCAGCAGAACGATTTTCAGAAACTGCTAGCAGCCGTACCGACCGAATTACAAGCACTACTGAAACGGTTCCCGGGGATATTTCCGGATGATTTACCACAGGGACTGCCACCTCAGCGAGTGCACGACCATAGGATCGAGCTAGAACCGGGGGCACAGCCAACAGTACAGCGGCAATTTCGACTGACACAGCCCGAGCTCGACGAGTTAAGGAAGCAGTTAGATTACCTGTTAGAGAAGCAGTTTATTCGACCGAGCTCGTCACCGTTCGCCGCACCCATACTGTTCACACCGAAAAAAGACGGAGGTTTTCGCATGTGCATCGACTACCGAGCGCTTAACCGAGTAACAATCAAATCGCGATACCCCATCCCCCGCGCCGACGAACTCATTGACCAACTGCGAACAGCACGTGTCTTTTCGAAAATAGATTTACGGGGAGGTTACCATCAGATTCGGGTCGAACCATCGGACTGCGCAAAAACAGCATTTAGGACTAGGTACGGGTCATTCGAGTATACAGTAATGCCTTTCGGATTGACGAACGCGCCTGCGACTTTTCAGATGACCATGAACGAGGCGTTTAGACCACTTTTAGATAGATGCGTGATCGTTTACCTCGACGATATCCTCGTTTACAGTCGGGATAAGCAGCAACACTTAGCAGATCTCGAAGCAGTTTTTAAGGTTTTAGAGGAACATCGGCTGCTCACCAAGGGCTCCAAGTGCGAGTTTTTCAGAGATAAGCTAGAGTTTTTAGGTCACGTCATTTCCGAGGCTGGGGTTGAGATCGACCCAAAGAAGCTGGATACGGTAAAAGCGTGGCGCCCCCCGACAAACATCACGGAACTGCAGAGTTTTTTAGGGTTTGTTAATTACGTTCGACGGTTCGTGCCCGACATGGCACGTTTAACAGCCCCACTAACTGATTTACTGCGTAAGGGGGTCGCTTTTACGTGGGGGGAGAAAGAGCATGCTGCCTTCTCTGCCCTAAAAAACGTCCTCTGTTCACCACCCGTTCTACGTATCGCTGATCCCCACCGCCCTTTCGAAGTGGTTACCGACGCAAGTGACATCGCCATCGGAGCTGTACTGTTACAGGACTTCGGCAACGGCCTCCAACCCATCGCCTACGAATCACGCAAACTACATCCGCCTGAGCGAAATTACCCGATACACGACCGCGAAATGCTCGCGATCGTGCATGCATTCAAAGTTTGGCGCTGCTACTTGACTGGCGCAGACGTGACAGTACGGACAGACCACCGATCTCTACAGTACCTCCGCGCACAGCCCCACCTCAACCCACGACAGATTCGATGGCTCGATTTCCTCGAGTCGAATTTTCACTATACGGTCACATACAAAAAAGGAGCATCGAATATCGCCGACGCACTGACCCGCCCCACTGCCCAGATCCACGCGATACTACTCGCCCAGACCAGCCCACTGCTTACCGGCCTATTTACCCACGGATATCAAACAGACTCGTTCTTTACAGGAGGCAACTCACAGCAATTCGCAGCGGCAAAAGGAGTCTATTACGTAAAAACTGGAACCGACCGCATCTGGGTACCGGGATACACACTACTGCGGGAACTACTGTTACAGGAAGCACACGATGGAGTTACCTCGGGACATTTCGGGGTAGAAAAAACACGGCAGCAGCTGCAGCGGTACTACTACTGGCCAGAAATGTTGACCGATGTGCAACGACATGTGGCATCGTGTCCCACTTGCCAGCTCATGAAGTCAAGCAGGAAGCGACCAGCGGGGCAATTACAACCCATCCCGCCTCCAGAGCGTGCTTGGCAGCAGGTGACGATGGACTTCGTCACGGGGTTACCAGCTGGGGCGAGTGGGAATGACGCGATCCTGGTCGTCGTCGATCGACTAACGAAAATGGCTCATTTCGCAGCATGCAGGAAATCCATCACAGCCGAAGAAACCGCCCGACTATTCATCTCCACCGTCGTACGACTGCACGGGATACCCGCGTCGATCATCAGCGACAGGGACACGAAATTTACCAGCAACTTCTGGCGGAACCTGTGGCAGCAGTTCGGCACACGCTTACAGTTCAGTTCATCCTATCACCCCGAAACCGACGGACAGACGGAACGAACAAATCAGACCATGGAGCAGCTGATTCGAGCCACGTGCGACGACCCGAATACGTGGGAACAGCAGCTGCCACTTATCGAGTTCGCATACAATAACGCACCATCAGCCACGACGCAACAGTCGCCGTTTTATCTAAATTACGGACAGGACCCAACAGTACCCATGACACCGAATCCCGACAACCCCGTCCCACGAGCACAACAGTTCGCCGAGATTCTGCAGGCAGCACGGACCAGGGCAGCAGAAGCAATAAAAAAATCAAACATCATCGCTAAACGCAACGCCGATCGACATCGCCGACCCGTTACTTATCAGCCCGACGACCTCGTTTTACTCGACACTCAGAACCTTCGCCTGCCCATCACTCCAAAACTTCGCCCCCGATATTGTGGGCCATTTCGCATCAGCCACATGATCACACCAGTTACCGCCCACCTCCTCCTCCCCGCTGACTGGTACGTCAGCCCGTCATTCCACGTCAGCCTACTTCGCCCTTACATCCCATCCACGAGCCAACTGCCACGACATCGCCCAGCCAGCATGACACGTCCCCCAACCGAACCACTCATCACCCCTGACAAAATCCTCAGCCACCGCGTCCGCGACCCTCGGGGAGCCCGAAGGATCGAGTTCCTAATTCGCTGGAAGGACCGAACGGCCACAGAAGACAACTGGGTCCCCATGGATAAAATTGAGAACCACCCTGTCTTCACCGAGTATCTGCGAAGCCGAAATTTCCGCGACGCCCATGCGCTCTCGTAAGAGGGGCCTCCTTGGGGAGGGGGGTAGTGTAAGGAAATTCCCTTTTCCTTACTTCGCGTCCCTGCCCAGCGCGTACGTCACTGTAGCACCTCAGTCAGCACCGTTACCACTCGCGACCATCGCATCATTCATCATCCCGCCTTTTTCGCACATCGCATCCCGACCTCACGGCTCGGCTGGTAACCCGCGCTCCGGGCCTACGCTTCGACACTTTCCCAACCTCAGTCTCAGGCTCGACGCGCGACAACCACAGTCCATTACCGTTACCACTATTGTTTCGCTATATAATCCTTCGCTCATGCCTTCGCTCATTGTACTTTTGCTTCGATAGTGCAATTCTCGTTCGTTCACTCAATTGCACACGTAACACATAGCTTCTGGGGATGTTTTCCCATCATTTTCTGCTTGAGGCATACTCCAGCTCAGATGCGGGACAAGAGTTTCCATTCCTCTTCCTCGTGTTTCCAACTCAGTTGTCCAGCTTTCTAGCGTCCGCACATCGTCTTTTAGCATGCATATGACGTGTTACTTCTACGACTCGACTGCCCCTCGTAGCTTCCGTACGGTTAGCCTCGAAAGCACCGACTCCTTTAGTGGCCATGGCGCATATGCGACAGCTCTCGATTCTTCCAGTACGCCATGGTTCCCCTCCTTCTTCCACGATACTTCCATCTGTGCGTATAATAGCTGCGCAGGGCCTCTTAAAAATTATTCGTCAGACACCTCGATTCCTCCCCTCTCGAACCCGCGAGGAGCCGCGCAGTGGCTCGTGAAGCTGTTTACCTCGAGAAGCTAAGGACAAACAGTTCATCTGACGCCACTGAGGTTACTCTGATATAACTCGAGAATCATTTGGGTCAACACCCGTTCCGCGAAATAGCACAACAGTATTACACTCTCGCACTGAAGCTTCACTACACTGAAGCTGCGTTATTATGGACGCTAGCGCGAGTGCCCTAGCTGCTTCTTCAACTAGGCTGTCGACGATCGCGCCGCCCCCATGTATGGCGGTCGTCTCACCGTCTCCTGTGCGCGCCCGTGCGAATCCTGCTTCGTTTGCCCGCTTTCACAGTGCATCCTCTGTTCCCAGGAGGAATTTGGCGCACAGGTCGTTGACTGTGCGCAGAGTTTGTAGCGCTGGTGGTAGCTACGCGCAGAGCTTCCGCCGACCTCCCGCCATCTCCTGCGCCCTTGCGACCCCCCCGGATCCCGCGCCCTTGGAAGGGCCCGCCAAGGCGCTGGGCGGAACTCCCGTCACCCCCGCTGGAGAGCTCAATTCGGGGGAAGGAAACGCGAAGACTCTTGACGACTTGTTTGACTCGGAGGTGAAATCGCGCGACGAGTTCGTGTGGGAGAAAAACTGGTACCCTGTGGCTTTAATCGAAGACCTCGACCCGAGCCGCCCGACGGCGTTCCAGCTCCTAGGCCGCGACTTGGTGATCTGGCGCGACTCGCAGGGCATATGGCGGGCGCACGCGGACCGCTGCCCGCACCGCCTCGTGCCGCTCTCCGAAGGCCGATTGGACGAGAATGGGTTGCTACAGTGCCCGTACCACGGCTGGTCGTTCCGAGGCGACGGGACGTGCGCTGTCATCCCCCAAGCCTCGGACTCAGGCCCGGAATCCCGAGCCTGTTCCTCGTCCCGAGCCTGCGTAGCTTCGTACCCGGCCCTGGTTTCCCAAGGGCTTCTGTTTGTCTGGCCGGAGGAAGGGCGATGGGAGGAGGCTCTAGCTGTCGAGCCGCCGCGATTGCCGGACGTGTTTGAAGATGAGGGGTTTTCGAGTGTGACTATACAGAGGGACCTGTATTACGGATTCGATACGCTCATGGAGAACGTATCCGACCCTTCCCATATCGAATTCGCGCATCACAAGGTACGAGTTACACTGGGTTCGCGTTACAAGGCGCAAATGGTATGGTTGTGCTCGTTGCAACGATGTCAAATATTACACGTTAGGGAAGTGAGTCATGGCGAACGATAGCAACCACTAGCAAGCTCACCCCCCCCCCCCCCCCCCCCTCCTCCCCCCCTTCCCCCCAACCCCCCCTCTCCCTTTTTTTTTTGGCTTCTTAGACGGTCATCCAAGTAGATTGACCCTGGACTGAAAGTTTCCTCCTGCCCGTCTTGTTGCTCCTGGTTACCCTGTTACAGGTCACGGGGCGAAGGGACCGAGCCAAGCCGCTGCCCTTCAACATCACATCCAGTGGACCGTTCGGGTTTTCGGCCACCACTGATACAAGCACACCCGTTACAGTCACACCCGCTAATAGCCCCGATACAAGCACACCTGATACCACCTCTGCTGGTGACGGCTCAACACCTCGTATTTCCTCCTGGTTCATGGCACCCTGCTCCTTCTTCAGCCGAATCGACCTCTTCCCAACTATCCCCGTTATAGGCAGGCAGCACTGGCAGCTGTGGATCTGCTCCTTTAACGTCCCCATGGGTCCCGGAAAAACGAGGTCTATTGTTTGCAGCGCGAGGAATTTCGCCCGGCTGACCGTCCCTGGGGGCAAATGGTGGCAGCTGTACCCGCGGTGGCTGGAGCATCTCACATCAAATCTGATCTACGATGGAGATATGATTGTGCTGCAGGGTCAGGAGAAGGTTTTGAAGGGTGGAGGAGGGGGAGGGGGTGGGGTGCCGTATAGTAAGCTGACTTACACCCCAGCAGCAGCTGACAGGATGGTTTTGGCTTTCCGGAACTGGCTTCGTAGGTACGGTGGCGGTGAACCTGCTTGGGATCCGAGCCTAACTGCAGGTCCGGGAGGCGCCGCACCTCTCCCGTCCACGGTTCTGTCCCGGGCAGAAATGCTCGACCGGCTCGGGCAGCACACAGAAAAATGCTCCTCCTGCCGGGCAGCTCTGAAAAATGTGAGGAGGCTGGCTGCTGTGTTGGCAGGGGCAGCGGCGGTGCTTTTAGCAGCAGCAGCAGCAGTGGCGCCCGGGGAGGTGGTGGGGGTTGGAGGGAAGGCAGGGCTAGCAGTGGGAGCGGTGGTGGCGCTGGCAGGTGCTGCTTGGCTCAAGTATGAGCTTGAACCGCATTTTGTTCATCGGGACTACGTGCATGCTGACGTGGAGTGAGCATGGGAGGGGTGTGGTGGGGAGGGGAGGGTGGGAGACTGGGAGTGTTGAGTGAGGTAGAACAGGTATGAGCTTGAACCACAGTTTGTTCATCGGGACTATGTGCACGCTGACGTGGAGTGAGCATGGTAGGGTGAGAGGTGGGAGGGAGGGGTGTGGTAGGGCGAAAAAGTGTTGAAAGGGGCGGTAGAAGTACGAGCTTGCACCGCAGTTAGTTCACCACCGCGACTACGCGCATGCTGATGTATAGTGTGACCATGGGAGGGGTGTGGTGGTGAGGGTGGGAGACGTGGAGTGTTGAAAGGGGCGGTAGTAGTATGAGCTTGCACCGCAGTTTGCTCATCACGGCGACTACGCGCATGCTGATGTATAGTGTGACCATGGGAGGGGTGAGATGGTAAGGGTGGGAGTCGTGGAGTGAGGATGGGAGGTGGGAGGGGTGTGGTGGTGATAGGAGTGGTGACAGTCCTGCTTGATGCAGTGCTGAGCTAGTGGTGTGGTGTGACTGAAGAGGATAGGTGAGTGTGAGGTGAAGAGGATAGGTGATTGCATCCGAATATCTCTGGGGCGAATTCGTATGTATGTGTACAGCTTGGTGCAGGGCCTGTGCTAGGATTTAGGGCACCCTGAGCCCTCAGGGCAACTTTTGAAAACTCTCCAAAATGCCGTGATTTTTCAGGGCAAAATTTCCTGGAAATCCTGAAATTTCAGGGCACCAGCAGAAATTCATCCGGATGTTTCAGGGCAAAAAAATACAAGACACTAGAGTGGAGGGGAAGCCACGAGAGGAGCAGGTTGTTCAGTGGTTTCACTACAATGGGCTGAGCAAAAACCTTGGGGGGGGGGACAAAACTAGCACACACACCCCCGAGCCTCCCTCCTCCCCTCTCCCCCTCTCCCCCCCTCCCCTCCACCCCTTCTTCCCCTTCCCATGAGTCAGGGCATCCCTCTACATTCACCCTAACGCTTCAGGGCAAAATCTCACTGCCATTCTGAAATTTCAGGGCAAAACACATGAATCATCCTGACGTTACAGGGTAAATTTCATCGTCATTCTGAAATTTCAGGGCAAACTTAAAGCACCATCCTGAAATCAGGGTAATCAGGATGTTTTGCCCTGATATCGTGGGCCCTGGCTTGGTGTGTGTTCCTTGCTTGTTGCCTACATGCTTGACAAAATTGTGTTCATATTACAGTTGTGTATGGCTAGGGAATAGCGTTGCAATGTGTATATCCTGTAAATAATATACATGTATGCTGCATTCACCATTGTGTAGCAATTTGAACTTAGCATGCGTGCGTCTCCATGCCAAATTACTTATCAACGGTATCAGTACTGACTAGATAGTACCTCTCAAAATCAAGTACCGGTGTCTTACAAATCACAAGAGAAACAGTAGCAGCAATACTGTTACAAGAGAATCAGTAGCCATCTTTTCAGGCCTTTGAACTAATCACCAGCACCCCTCGCACACCCACTAGTATTTACATCTGCTCACAGCTCTTACTACCACTCATATCCCCCCCGCTTCACTCCCCCTCTGCTCCCCTCTCCCTCCCCTCTGATCCCAGCTGCAGCAAATCTTCCGGTTACTCTGACCCTCCACACCTTCACTCACAGCGCATACCACTTGATGTGGATACTCCCCTTCACTCCCCCCTCTGCTGCTCCCTCCCTCCCCTCCAATCCCAGCTGCAGCAAATCTCCTGGATACTCCGACCCTCGTACCTTCACTCACAGCCCGTTCCACTAGATGTGAATGCCCCTCTTCACTCCCCCTCTACTCCTCCTGCCTCCCTCCCCTCCAATCCCAGCTGCAGCAGATCTTCTGGATACTCTGACCCTCGCACAAAGCGAGTGTACGACACTGGGAGGGGCAGAGAGGGGTTGGGATGGGTCAGAGAGCGAATGTAGAACGGTAAAGGGTGTGTGTTGGAAGGGGGGAGAAGACAGCGGAAGGAAATAGCTAACTCCACATAGCCATCACGTCTCTCTTCCTCCCCACTGGTGACTTTTGAGTTGACTCAAAAGCCCCAAGCTTAGTGCCTCAAACACGCCCCTCCCCAGAAATCCCTTCACACGCCCAGAAACCCCTTCACACGCCCTCTAACCGTTCTCAATCTTGTTGAGGCTCGCCAGCATGACATCCATCTTCTTTCCCATCTCCTTCCCCACCTCGCTGCTCCTGGGAAGGAGACTGAACCCTGCATATAGCTGGACCACCTCTGTAGTCCTGAAACCCCGTCATACATCCAGGAACCGCTTCACATGCCCAGGAACTCTCTCTCACCGTTCTCAATCTTGTTGAGGCTCGCCAGCATCACGTCCATCTTCTTCCCCATCTCCTTACCCAGCTCGCTGCTCCTAGGCAGCAGGCTGAACCCTGCATACAGCCTCTGCACGAACAACCGACACGCATCTGCATCCACCACCAATTCCCCTCTCCCCTCTCCAGCCTCTGCTTCAGGCTCGGCCGCGGCAACAGGTTCGGAGGCAGCCGCAGGCTCGGCACCTGAAGCCTTTGCTTGAGCCTCTGGTTGTTCCCGTTGCCTCTTCCCTCGCCTGCTGGTCCCTTTTCCAGTGGAGCCCGCACCACCATCACCACCACCCGCGTTACCAGCAGCAGCGCCACCACCACCGTCAGCAGCAGCAGCTGCACGGCTTGACACAGCTAGCCTCATGACTTCTCCGGTCAAATCAGCGAGCTGGAAGGGAGGAGGGGAGGCAGGGGAAACACGTAATGTATCATCTAAATACATACGTATACCCACATATATGTATATTTTCTGGTGTATACCAGGAAAAGTCCACTCACGGACGCACCACTTACCAAGCACTAATGCAGCACTCCCTCCGTCCTCACCCTTTTGCACTCACCCCCAGCACATAGTCAGCAGCATGCACGTGGAAGGCTTGGCCCTCGCGGTCCAGAATGCCTTCAAACGCACCGTTCACCTGGGCAAGAGTGCAGTGGAAGGAGTGCAGAGGAGGGCATACAGTGTGAGCAGTATGTATGAGTAGCGTGAGCAAGGCAGTACAGAGAGCATAGGTGGATAGGTAAGAGGCGCAGAGGAGGGCATGCACGTGGAACGCTGCATTGCTCACGCTACTCGTATTGCTCATGCACATGGAACGCTGCATTGCTCACGCTACTCGTATTGCTCATGCACATGGAACGCTGCATTGCTCACGCTACTCGTATTGCTCATGCACATGGAACGCTGCATTGCTCACGCTACTCATATTGCTCATGCACATGGAATGGCCGCCGCCCCTCCTGGGCATCCCCAGGTCCAGAATGCCCAGGATGGGCAGCGGCTGCACATGAAACACCTCTTGTGCTCTCCTGCGCAGGGCATGGCAAGGCAGGCCGCCAAGAATAGCAACAAAGTTGAGAGGCCAGCAGGGTGAATGGGGAGCAGAGAAGCCAGGAGCAGATGGGTGAGGCGCAGATGGGTGAGGCGCAGATGGGTGAGGCGCAGATGGGTGAGGCGCAGATGGGTGAAGCGCAGATGGGTGAGGAGCAGATGGGTGAGGCGCAGATGGGTGAGGAGCAGATGGGTGAGGCGCAGATGGGTGAGGAGCAGATGGGTGAGGCGCAGATGGGTGAGGAGCAGATGGGTGAGGCGCAGATGGGTGTGGCGCAGATGGGTGAGGCGCAGATGGGTGAGGAGCAGATGGGTGAGGAGCAGATGGGTGAGGCGCAGATGGGTGAGGAGCAGATGGGTGAGGCGCAGATGGGTGAGGAGCAGATGGGTGAGGCGCAGATGGGTGTGGCGCAGATGGGTGAGGAGCAGATGGGTGAGGAGCAGATGGGTGAGGAGCAGATGGGTGAGGCGCAGATGGGTGAGGAGCAGATGGGTGAGGCGCAGATGGGTGAGGAGCAGATGGGTGAGGCGCAGATGGGTGTGGCGCAGATGGGTGAGGAGCAGATGGGTGAGGAGCAGATGGGTGAGGAGCAGATGGGTGAGGCGCAGATGGGTGAGGAGCAGATGGGTGAGGCGCAGATGGGTGAGGAGCAGGAGGCTCAAAGAAAACCCGAGATTCCCTCCATGCCCACCCACCGCCTCCCACCGCCATCCACCGCCCCTTTCCCCCTCACCTGGGCGAGGGTCAGCAGGCGCCCAGTTTGGCGGAAGTGCAGGAACGATGCCGCCTCCACATACTCTTGCAACTGCGGGTGGGATGGATGCAGGGGGCAGTGGGGCAGGCGCAAGAGCGGAGAGCGAAGGGGTGGACGGCTAAGAGGATGCAGCGGAAATGCAGGAAATGCAGGAAATGCAGGAAATGCAGGAAATGCAGGAAATGCAGGAAATGCAGGAAATGCAGGAAATGCAGGAAATGCAGGAAGTGCAGGAAATGCAGGAAATGCAGGAAATGCAGGAAATGCAGGAAATGCAGGAAATGCAGGAAATGCAGGAAATGCAGGAAATGCAGGAAATGCAGGAAGTGCAGGAAATGCAGGAAATGCAGGAAATGCAGGAAATGCAGGAAATGCAGGAAATGCAGGAAATGCAGGAAATGCAGGAAATGCAGGAAATGCAGGAAATGCAGGAAATGCAGGAAATGCAGGAAGTGCAGGAAATGCAGGAACGATGCCGCCTCCACATACTCTTGCAACAGCCAGGGACCCGGGCGAAGGGAGAGGAGAGGGAGAAAAAACGTCGCCTCAGCAGATTCTTGCAGCGCCAAAACGGGAAAAGGGAGAAGTTCCAAAAAAGAGTGCTGAGGCGGTATGCCAGGGCCCCCCCTGGGCACTGATGGGATGAACTACCCTCTACTTAGAGCCCCTGCCCATCCTTCCCCACCCGTTTGCACCGCATCCCATCGCACACTAACAGGCCCTCCCCCCCCACCCACCCCTCCCCCCACGTGTGAGCACGAGTGAAGCGCCAGTAGTCCTCTGCACTCTCAGCTCGCGAGCCACTTGGGCGATGTGATATCCAGGTGCGCCCATGCCCGCCCCACCCCACCCAATTCCACCGCATCCCATCCCACCCTACCAGCTCATCCACCCTCCACCCACGTGTACGCGTGTGTGAAGCGCCTATAGGCCTCTGCACTCAGCCCGCAAGCCAGCTGGGCGATGTGGTGTGCTCGTAGAAACCCCTGCCCACCCCATCCCACCCAATTCCACCGCATCCCATCCCATCCCATCCCTCCCCCGTTCGACCCACCCCCCACGTGTACGCGGGAGTGAAGCGCCAGTAGTCCTCTGCTCGCAATTCCCCTGCCCACCCCACCCCCTCTCATCCCACCCCACCCCACCCCACCCCACCCCACCCCACCCCGCCCCGCCCCGCCCCGCCCTGTCTCCCCTACACCCCTCCACCCACCCCCCACGTGTACGCGCGTGTGAAGCGCCAGTAGTCCTCTGCTCGCAATTCCCGCGCCACTTGAGCGATGTGGTGTGCTCGTAGGGAGGCCAGCTGCTGCGCGGCTGCTGCCAGGGCGCGCGGACTTGTGGCTCTGACGAGGAGGGGTGGAGAGGGGTGGAGAGGGGTGGAGAGGAGTGGAGAGGGGTGGAGAGGGGTGGAGAGGGGTGGGGGGTGGGACAGGGAGGGAAGGGGGGAGTAGATGTGTGGTCTGCGTTCAATTCGCGAGCCACCAGGGCGATGCCGTGGGCTCGCAGGGTAGGCAGCTGCTATGCTGCTGCTCCTGCCAGGGCGCAAGGGATGGTGGCTCTGAGACAAGGAGGGGTGGAGTGAGGGCGGGGGGGAGTGGGGAGGTGTGGTTAGATGGGAAGTGTATGCGCTGCTGCACTGAGCTCGCGAGCCACCAGGGCGATATCGTGGGCTCACAGGGCAGGCAGCTGCTATGCTGCTGCTCCTGCCAGGGCAGCAGGCGTGGTGGCTCTGAGACAAGGGGGGTGGTGGGGAGAGGTGGGGTTGGGTCAGGGGGCAGAAAGACGTGTGGGTAGAAATGTGGTGTGGACTCAGTCATGCAGGTATGTTGAATCTGCTCTATGAGAAAAATATAAAAAAAAGATTCAGCACGCAGGTACAGAACGCAGGAGAGCGATGTGGTGGGCTCGCAAGGCTGCTGCTAGCTGCTGCTGCTGCCAGGGAGTGAAGTCTTGTGACGTGGTGATTGATTAAAACGGGCGAACTGGTTCCCGACACTGCGTAAACGGCACCATGCCACGTCATCACGCAACGTCAGCAGGTGCCACGTCAGCGCACCTGTGGATGGCGAATATGATCTTCTTGCTCTGTATTGTCACGTCCCGGCTCGCTTTCACCAGTCTCTCCCTCCGCTCGTTCTGCACGCGCGATGTGACACAAACGGGGGAAGGTGACAGAAACGAGCGAGAGAAGAGAGACGACGAATTCAACCGGGTGCAGCGACTGAACGAGGTGAGCCCACTTGCTTGAGGCTGAAATTCGGGTGACGATGCTCGTGGAGCAATTCTAGAAAGGGTCACAAGCATCTTCCGAATTCCTGCCGCACCCTCTACTGCAACGCACTATCTCGTCTAGAACCCGCGCTTAGCCCTCAAATTCCGCCGCGATTGACGGAGAGCCGTCGTCCTCCCCCATGTTGCCCTCTCCGCCCTCTCCGCCCTCTCTGCCCTCTCCGCCCCTCTCCGCCCCTCTCTGCCCTCTCTACCTTTCTGCCCTCCTCCTGGTCTGTTAGCCTTGGAAATACGAGTCACAGTGATGCTGCTAGAAGTAACGTCACCGTCGCGGAATAAGGGAGGCGCGATGGCGACAGGACAACAAGAGGCGACGGGCAACAAGCAGAAACCGAGAGCGGGGAAATGGAATGGAGGGTGATGGTGCGATGAATGTGAGTGGGCCCTCTCGATTGTGAAATTTCTCGCATTCCGTACTCGATAAAAATATCCCCGTGAATTGAAGTTCAATGGGGTACATTTCTTGAAACAAGCACATCCTAGATAAATGCAAAACTCAGCACATGGAAGCTGAGCGAATAAATACAAGAAAGAGCTGCTACTTCAACGCACATAACACTACAACGTCACCACAGAATTATAACGGAGCCATGCTCCGGTTAGGTGGTACATGTTCTCTAGGGCCATATACACATTCACCACCCCCGTTAGTATGGACACCTTTCCATCCGCCAATGCTACTTTCAAATGTATCCCTCTTCTGCCGTACCCAATCCCTCCATTCTAACCATACTACCTCAACCAACCCTAAACACTTGTAGACTAAATACACCACAATAGTTGGTGCCATTGCCACACCTCCACCACCCATCCCCCTTCTCCCCATCCACACAACAAGTGCCATAGCCCCCACCGCTTCATGATGCACATTCCCCAGCAAAAACGACAAGGCATGCAGCCCCACGCCGATCCCCAGGCCCGGCATTCCCCCGAGCCTCCATGCGACAGCTCCGGCAACTTTCAACCCGAGCCTCGTGTTAGCAGAGAGGATAAGGACCAAGGACAGCCATGCTAAAGTAGCGTTGGTACCATAAAGAACCCCGAGGATGATACTAACGAGGATGAAAACGAGGTCTGAGCCAAAAGACGCCCGCCACTCGGGCTGGAGAGGGGAGAGGAGGATGTGGAGGAGGGAGGAAGGCGTGTGGCGGAGGAAAGAGAGGACGAACCGGGCGTATGAAGCCAGAGGAAGGGTTGAAGCTTTGAAATACGGGGAAAAAAACAGCAGCAGCAGCAGCAGCAGAAGCGGCAGCGGCAGCGGGAGTGGCGGGTGCATGATGCTGATTAGGCTCATCCCGCTGCCGTCTATTGCCTTCGAAAACCTTTTCTCCTGCCAAGGTTGCCCCTTGCTCCACTCCTCCTGAACCGCCCCCAGCTGCTGCTGCAACACCACCACCCCCACTGGCAGCAGCAGCAGCAACACCTCCTCTTCCAGAACTGCACTCATCTCCCTCCAACAGTCCCCCCTGTTCCAGCAACCCATCAGATCCAGCCTGCTCCGCTCCCCTCCATCTGCTCCTGCCTGCCTCCTGCCCTGCACCATCCCCTGTACGCCAGTCCAACTTGTCTCTTTGAGCGTGTCTCCACTTCCTCTCTCCCCCCCCATGCCCCTGCTCCTCCTCGTGTGCCTCATGCTCACCACGCCATGCTCCCCTGCTCATTCCCGTAGCGGCATACGAGGGGCTCATGCCGCCGCTGCTCCTGGTTTTGAACGCCGCAACACGCCGTGCGCGCTGCTGCACTGCCAGCGCCCACCGCGCGTGGAACAGCCACCGCAGGTACCACGCCGAGAAGATCGGGCACTCTGAGGTTGAGGCTTGGGCCGAACCTGGGCCAGGCTCGACGGAGGGCCGGACCGAGGCTGAGAACGCCCTGTCGAATGGGTCTAAGCTGGTGTGGTGGTACGGGAGGAGAGGACAAATCAACAAGTATGGGGTAACCATTGGGGTTAAAGGGTACCAAGAACGTGAACCTAATGAATATTGTGCTTGGAATATTTGGTGCTGCTGACCTGGCAGATGATCCGTGTGCTGACGTGGCAGATGACACGGACGACCAATGCCGCGGGGAGCTGCGATTGGGAGCACCAGCAACACGAACAGACGCGCCGCGAGCAACTGTAGCACCGCGACCAGCAGCCGCGCGACTCGCAGCAGTGCGAACAGAAGTTGCAGCGCGCTGGACGCTAAGGTCGTAGAGGCGCCGCTGTTGGTCGTCTGACAAAACCTCGTACGCCGCCACTATAGCCTGGAAGGCTCGGGCCGAACCTGAGGCTTGGGACACGTCCGGGTGATACTGCGAGGAAGGACATGTGGAAGGTGGGGACGGCCGGGGAGTGGGCAGGGGAGGTAGCAGGGGAGGGGGCGCGGAAGGGGGCGAGGGAGGAGGCAAGGGAGGGGCGGTAGGAAGGGGGGTGATGGAGTGTGCGAGGTGAAAATTGGGGTTACACACAAGGGGCCGAAAGCGCAATGCGACACATCGCAGACATCGCGAAGGACGGCGCGCTTATGACCGGCGACGTTCTCTCTCAATTTCGCGTACCTTTCTCGCCATTTCCCGAAACGCCTTTTTTATTTCTTGTTTGTTCGCGTTATAAGGGACTCCGAGGGTTTGGTACAAGTCCGTCGCGGCTCGCACGATCACCGCGCTCCTGGGTCGAGCGCGGAGAGGCTCGGAAGAAGAAGGCTTGAGGGGCGTCCCGAGGTTCGGTCCGAACCGTGACCTGAGGCTCGGTCCGAGGCATTTCGCCCGGGGCGGAGGCTCGGACGCGGATAATTTAGCCGAAGAGGGAGGGTAGCGACGCTGCGCCGTTGCTTCGCGAGCGGCTTCAAACGCGCAGACCGGGCCGCTATTGGCCACTGCGAGAGACATTGTCCTGACTCGTCCCTACATTTAATTGATTTCAATAATAACGGCTACATAAGGCGCAATGAAAGTCATTCTAGGTTGTGTAAGGTCAAAGTAAGGGCATGACGCTGCGATCTGTAACGCATACACTCTCTTGCGACGGGACCTCCTCCTCTCTCAGCCCAAACGAGCTGTATAGACGAGCTGAAAATAGTAAGGACACGTTTCGAGTCGCTTGATGAACTGAGCTGAGGAATAAACGTCTATAATACCACGAGACGAGGCATCAACATCAAACATCACCACTCGCCACACCACTCACTTTTCTCCCCTCTCGCACACCGCTCACACGACTTCACGACCAACCTACCTAGACACGAGCAATGAGGGGCGAGGGGAAATACCCAGAGAGCTGAGGGATGGGTGGGCGTTTACGCATTGGACGAAAATTGATTTCCTAGGCGCGAACTCAAACCTCAAATGTGATCTGCTCGCATCGAAACGCAAAGATTTGTTCCGACGATAATACGGTGCGGAAGGTGCCAGAAGCATAATGGAGAAGCGATTTGCGTCCCAGAAGTGTCAACTTTTATTCCTAGAAATCTCTAAACAACATAAATGTTTAGGAACGCCAGTAGTAACTTGATGTGATGTGTTGTTGGGCGGGCAGACTTGTCACCTTTTGGCGCAAAGGCTGGATGAGGGCACAAGGCAGGTACCGCTAACGAGACTCCACTACAAGAAACTAAATTCCCAACAAAGGATGCGATGCTATACCATCTGATGATGGGATTTCTCAACGCTTGAAATTCTTTCTTGAAGATTACCCCAGGCTAAAATGTTGAATTAACTCTTATTTGATAGGGTGCTGTTTCAATTTCAAGCACAGGACCGCTGCTTAAATCATGGAAGGCAGGAACATTTGTTCGGTGAGGTTCTGAGCGGCTTCCTCAGATGGGAAGCTCCTGACAGCCCCGGTGGTCCAGGAGGAGATGACTCCGGCGGAAATGGCAAAGCGAATGGCCCTCTCTAGCGCATCTTGATCGCGGAGGATAGCAGGGTTGGTGGAGAGCTTGCGGAGGAGTCCTGAGTAGGAGTGCGAGAGTTGACGAAAAGGGGGAGGAAAGGGGAGAGGGGGAGAATTTGGGGGGGAGGAAAGGAGGAAAGGGTGTTTTGTGGGAGAGAGGGGGGATGACTGGGTTCACACAAGGAAATGGAAGGTTCTTGGAGCAGTGTGTGTCTTTGCAGAGCACAACAAGCAGCAAACTCATAAAAACATCCTTTCACGAGTAAGTTTGCTGCTTTTCTGCAATCACCTGAACTATTCCAGAGCAATCACATGCCACGAACGCATCCCCCGACCAGGCTCCATCACACGTCATGGCAGCAAATAGCACATCCTCTCTGCCCTCCACCCACCCCCCCCCCCTCCTTCTGTCACCTTCAATAGAAACACACTCACCTGCCCGAGGGCATCCCCTGACCCAGCTCTGTCACACGTCATGGCAGAAATCAGCTCATCCTCTGTGCCCTCCACCCACTTCTCCACCCACCCACTCCTCCCCATTTCCCCCCGCCCATCTTTTAATCACACTCCTGAGAAGAGCACTCACCAGCCACAAGGGCATCCCCTGACCCAGCTCTGTCACACGTCATGGCGGCAATCAGCACGTCCTCTGTGCCTCCACCCTCACCTCCCTCACCCCCCTTTTCAACCACGCTCCCTAAAAGAGCACACTCACCAGCCACAAGGGCATCCCCTGACCCAGCGCGATCACACGTCATGGCGGCAATCAGCACGTCCTCTGTGCCCTCCACCCACCCGTGGAAGCCCCTCCCATAGTAGTGCACCTGGCAGAGGGATGGGTGAATTGGAGAAGCCAGTAGGGGGTGGAAGGGTGGGGGGTTTGAACAACCGAGTCGACTCACACGAGCCCTCCACCCACCCGTGGAAGCCCCTCCCATAGTAGTGCACCTGGCAGAGGGATGGGTGAATTGGAGAAGCCAGTAGGGGGTGGAAGGGTGGGGGGTTTGAACAACCGAGTCGACTCACACGAGCCCTCCACCCACCCGTGGAAGCCCCTCCCAGAGTAGTGCACCTGGGAGGTAGAAATGGAAAGGGCAGTAGGGGTTGGAGGGTGGGGGTTGAACAAATGATTTCACTCAATCATACCCTCCACCCACCCGTGGAAGCCCCTCCTATAGTAGTGCACCTGGCAGGAGAGAGGGTGGAACAAGGGAACTTGTAACGCTTTCAAAGCATCATGTAATGACAGCTTGAGTGGAGTGGACTCACACGTGGGAGTGGTTGACATTTCAAACCCCACATGTAATGCGTACGCGCATCAACTCGCGATTACATTCCTCCATACCTGCGCACTATCATGCTTGCATGCTCCAACACTTCAGTTCTATCATACCAGGCTTCAGTATTATCATACCATGAGCCATATCATACCATGAGCCATATCATACCGTGAGCCATATCATACCGTGAGCCATATCATACCATGAGCCATATCATACCATGAGTCATATCATACCATGAGCCATATCATACCGTGAGCCATATCATGGGATTATGGAATTTCCCAACACTCCAGTTCTAGAATCCCATGAGCCAGAAACAAATTCTTGCCCTCATGCCATTGCCCCGCCTATTCCTCTGGCCATCAATGTGACTCCGCTTCTCCCAGACCTCCTACCTTCACGCTTCAACGCCACAATCCTTCCAATCTTACACTCTTCCATACCTGCATGGTCCCATGGGTAACCAGTAGTAAATCCATGCCTTCATGCCACAGCCCAGCCAATTCCTCCGGCTTCCAGTGATACACCCCTTCGCCCTCCCCCTCCTCCCTCTCCCCACTCAGCGTCAGGTACGAGTCCGAAGCATATTGCACCCGAGCCTGCATGCCCCAATGCCCCACTTCCTTCATACCTGCATAGTTCCATGGGTCACCAGTAGTAAATCCATGCCTTCATGCCACAGCCCAGCCAGTTCCTCCGGCTTCCAGTGATACACGCCCTCTCCCTCCCCCTCCTCCCTCTCTCCTCTCAGCGTCAGGTACGAGTCCGAAGCATATCGCACCCGAGCCTGCCGCCGCCGCAAAAAACGCTCCTCCCCAACCAGGAACTCAGCTTCGGCACGGGACACCTCCACCACCGAGGCTCGGCGCCAAACCGGATCCAGCGCTGCCGAGGCTGAGGCTCGGGAGGCCCAGAGGCAGAGGGGGAGGTTTACATCAAGAAAGAGGCGCGGAGGGGATGGGGGAGAGTGGGGGGAGGAGTGCGGGGAGGAGGGGGTGAGGGAGTGTGAAGGTGGTGGTGAGGAAGGGGAGGAGGCGAGTGGGTGGCAGCCTGCGGCGTCCAGTGCGGCAAGGAGTGCAGTGCGGTCGGAAGGGGTGGCGAGAGACATGGAGGTGCAGTGAATCCACGAAGCCTGAAAGGGACGAATAGGGGGGGAAAACGAAGGGAGTGGGATGCGGTTAGAAGGTCTGCTGAAATGGTATGATCAGGGACCAAAAAAGACTGTCATCTCTCATGCTCATACTCATCTCATACTCATCAGACCCACCTGTCTGAGCACGTCTTGTGCGTCCTCAGATACACCTCCCCCGGATGCTGCCGCTGCTGCCAGCGCCTTCACTCTCCGCTCCCCATCACCCCTCCCCTCTCCTGACTCCTGTCTCTCCTCCTCCTCTTCCTCGCCTACTCCTTCCTCCTGCCCTGCCACGTCACGCGCTTCCTCAGCCAATGGGAAGCGGGCACGCCATGCAGTGCCTGCATTCGAAGCCGAGCGGGTGTTGCTCTTCTTTATTATCACCCCCCCTCTAAGCACCTCTCCTCCTCGTGATTCTAATTCTTCTCCTGATGCTCCATCCTTCGCTTGCGCTTCCGCTTTTTCCAAAGAGATGAGCTTTGCTCCGGTTCTTAATCCACCACGCATGTCCACGCCACGTGTCGACACGCCATTGGACTCCAGAATCTCCAGAAATGTATTCCCCGCCTCGTCATCCCCTACTGCTCCCACGAACGCCACGTCAGCATTCAGCCGCGCCAGCGCGACCGCCACCTGGCACGCCGGCCCACCAGGGGCGCGCGCGAAATCTGGGGGCACCCACTGGAGATTGCGCCACGTGGCAAATATCTCGTCAGGGGCTTGCCGCGAGCTGCGGCGCACAACAGGAACGAATTCCCGAACCGCCTCCCCCACGCAAACCACCTGACTGGGGCCCGCAGGGGCGGGCGGCGGAGTGGGGGGCAGATTTTGTCGCCATGTGGGAGGGGGAAGCCCCCCCACCGGCCTGCTTTCTCCAACAGCGCTGGCGCTCGGCTGACCCTCGTTTCCTTGCAGCGATCCCTCGACATAATCGTCAGTTTCCGCATCCGATCCCTCGATATAGTCATCCGAACTTGAATAGTCGTCCGCTTCAGTCACAATCTGTCCCGAATCGTCCTTCAATGCCCTGCCCGATACAGTCACGATTTCGAATGAAGCTTCCTCGACTCCCTCGCGTAAGTTAAACGAGCCTGATTGGTCGAAACTGTCACCTGGAACGGCTAAGGCCCTCTGGAACCCTGAACCCTCTCCGTCAGACCCGCTGGATTCGTCAGAGCTCTCCGACCACGAAGCTTCGTCGCCGCGGTTTGGAAAGGTCGACGAGCTTTCCGAGCCTGCAGAACTTTCCCTCGAGGCTTCGTCTTTCGGGGACCTGATTTTCCGGGGCCTGCCGCGTCGCCTGGAGCCGACGCGCTGCGAGGGTCCATCCACGTCACTCCCGCTCGCTGACACGTGGACTCGCAAGAGTTTTGTCGAGGGATACCCAGCACCAGAAATGTGACTATACGGAGGCAAGGCGACCAAACGATACGCGTGAGAGAGCGGAGCCTTTCGTGGTAACAGGGTAACGCACTTGTACGGGGTAAGCGGTCTACGTAAGCCCAGCGTGAAGAATGCGACGGGCGATGCTACTGCTTCGGCAGCGGCGAGCGGTGCGGCCGCCATGACTCACTCGAATCGACTCGGCCCAACTCCGCTCGCCGCGATTCGAATCCGTGATGCCTCGCGGTGCACTCCAGATGCCGGAGTGCTGTGCGTCGTTACCTAAGAATCCCTTAGGCGAAAAAGGTGAGCGGCAGGATAATATTCAGGTTTCAGGGCTTAACCATTGTTCTCGATAGGGAGACGTCGATTGTTGTTAAGGGAGACCTAGTCGACAGACACACCCACTGTTTGCTGCCCTGGCAAGAGAATCAACCAGTCAATTTCTAGCTGGGGATAGAGCCAAGAAATTTATGATTATTATTGCTTAGATTGGAAACATCACAAGTTGTAACAACATATTCCATGAAGTGACAGCCACGTAAGTGATACAGATTATATAGGCCAAATAAATATTTGTTTAGTGTTGATTAGTAACAATATTAGGTAAAGACAAGCATTATACATTCAGAATGAATGTCATTTTAAAGTGAGGAAGTTTCACATCTTCACAGATTACACATGTTGGTCACGAATGTCATGTTTTGTTGTTGATTATTTCTTGATATCGGAACGTTTTAACACGAGTCCTGGTTGAATTCGAAACTGTAGGGAAACGAAAATCGCCATCCATCAACGGGACGGACACGACAACGAATGATGGCCCTTGTTGTCAGCGTGCTCCCGCCCACGGCTGAGCGTGAGGCTGATTGCTTTGCTTATGAATTTCCTGGAATCTCAAAAAATTAATGAGATTGTCGGGATGATGCTCGCGATGACGCAAGAATGGGCCCAATCAGCAGTGGTATTGTCCCTTTTGCCTCGCCCTTGCCAGCCTTGAAATGTTGCCCTCGATAGATTCCCGTTTGGCCAGCTGGGCCAACACAGATGAGACGTTTTGCAACAGTTGCTCCCGAATGGCATGCCATCCGTCTGGGGTTTATTTTTTTTGCCCCGGGCAGTTTGTCGTTTTCTCGAAACGACTTTGTCGTTAGCGTGCTTGCTACATTCCGTTGAGATATACTACGCTGTTTCTTGCTTGTTGCTGCTGATTTGTAACCGACAAACAGGCATCGATGCATCCGTCCGTCCACCTTCAGCGATTTGTTGGAAAGCACTGCCGCCCTCTTAGCTGGAAATCTGTCCAATCAGAACCTAGTTTACTTACCCGGCTAGGGACCCGTTGTCATGTTGTTCGTGGTACAGTGTCTCGTTCAGGCATCCATGTCTCCTTGCTGGACAGCAGTGATCACTGTAATCGGCGACCTTATCATGAGCACGTTATCAACCAATCAGCTGACTGCCACGCTGTACCTTGCCTAAAAAACGAAACCACGGGGCTCCCATATCCACAAATCATCGAATCAATCTCTCGAGTCGCCATGCCATGTGAAAGTGCAGTTTTCCTCCCTGCAGCTTCAGCAGCGAGCGACTAGGTCCAGAAGCATGTGACACCAACTTTGATGGTTAGAGCAGGCCCTTGCCAAGGTTCCATCCGCTCTCCCAACTTCGCTGGGTTCGCCACCCCCGCGATTCCTTGCGAGTCGCATTTCCGTCTGGTTTGCACACATTAGAGCTCACATCCCATCACGCTGTCTCCTCATTTGAGCTCGCATATTCCATTCATCAGCTTAAAAAAAATCGCCAAGCCTGTCTTGGTTCTTAGTTCACTCATACTTCGCCGCACGTGTGCTAATAAGCACTTGGCTCTTCACTCACAGAATGTCACTTCCTGCCAATCACGCCGACGCAAGCACACATAACGATCTGTTCTTAAACCTTGCTCTGAGAGCCTTAGGAGCGAATCCCGTAGTCTAGAGTGGCAGTAGAGACACTCTGGAGCAAGCTCGCGCGTCTAGCGACGTCACGGACTGCAGCGCGAGAAGTACCGAGAACGTCGGCTTGAACCCGCATCGAGCGGCGCCTTCTCAACCCTCGTCATCTTTTCAGAACCAACAAATGCAGCAACAACAGCAGCAGATGCAGCAGCAGCAGCAACAGCTTCAGCTGCTTTTGCAGCGGCTGCAGCAGCAAGCAGAACCAGCCGTTGCGGCTGTAGCCGAGAGGCTTCAACCGCAGCCGCCAGCGCCGCAGCAGCAGCAGCAGCAGTTCGACTCTCCAGCTCCAAACGCTGCGCTTGTGTCGTCGCTGCTACAGCAGCTCGCGTCAACCTACGCCGCATCTCCCGCCGCTACAGCCGCTGGGAACGTTGACTTCCGCTCTACGCGCCAATCTGCGCTTCCCGCCGGCTTCGTTGCGCCGACGCTGCCGTCGCAGGCGACGACAGGCGCAACCAGAGGTGCGACATCCGCCGACGTGGCGGATGCTGCGATAAATTCGAAGAACGCAGCGTTGTCGGACTCCAATCAGGCCGCTGCGCTGCTTCAGATCGCGCGCCTCGTCGCCGCATCTCCTGGCTCTCGCGGCCCTCTCGGCCAGCTTCTCAATGCGGCGGAGGGCGGTGCGTCTCTCTTCCCCTCATCGTCCGTGCGGCCGACTTTCGCGTCAGATGCGCCGCCCTTTGCGGCGCATGATGCGCCACCGTACACGTCAATCTATCCTACACTCGCAGTGGGAGCCCCTCAAACCACATCCGCGGCTGCGTGGCTCAATCCGCGGAACTCTCCATCGCCGGAGGGTCCGCGCGCCAGCCTCCGCGATCTGAACATCGCCGCCGCTGCGCCTGGTAGCCCGCAGGGGCGGGGAGTCGGGGGAATTGGCGCGTATGGGGAAGCGGCGAGCAGTGAACGTGCATCGCTGAAGCGGAAATCTTGGGATACGGTTGATAGCAAGGAGCGTAGAGCCCCGAATTCGACGTTTCCCACCAGCAGGGCTGCTGGAAAGAGCTTTGGGGCTTTGTTCTCTCCCCCAGCAGGGTTTAATCCTGGAGTTTTCAGCTCCGAAGGAGCTGGAGAGTTCCGGTTGAGTGGAAGCTCGGAAGAGGAAGGGGAAGGTAAAGAAAGCAGCAGGGCTTTTACGGAGGGTCAAGGGGAGTGGGAGAATGGTGAGGCGGAGGGGGAAGGGGAGGGAGGAGAGGTGAATGGCAACAAGAAGAAAATGCGGCTTACAAGGGAGCAACTATCAATGCTGGAAGACTTTTTCAAGAAACATCCCCATTTGACGCCGCGGCAAAAGGCGGGCTTGGCGAAGAGTTTGGGCGTGCGGGTGTGGCAGGTGGAGGTGTGGTTTCAGAACCGGCGGGCCCGCACCAAGGTGAAGCAGGCAGAGGCGGAGCTTGAGGGGCTGAGGCGACGCTGCCAGCAGCTGGCTGAGGAGAATAAACGGCTCAAGCTGCAGCTGGCCACACGGGAGAGGAATGAGGAGGAAGTCCAAAGAAAAGAGATGGTGGGAACCTCAAGGATCATGACTGGGAAGGCAAGCGAGAACTCCATGAAGGCTTTTGAAACAAGGGGGGCAAAGTGCAGCTTTTGTCATGCAGCTAAGGGATTGGAAGTGGAGGATACACCTATTGAAGAGGGAGAAACCCCATTTATCACTTTTTTGTAAATAGACTTCAGTTCACTATTATGTGCTGTTACGAGTGCAATCGAGTGAACGAACGAGAATTGCACAATCGAAGCAAGAGTACAGTGAGCGAAGAATATATAGCGAAACTGCAGTGGTAACGGAACCGGTAATGGGCTGTGGTTGTCGCGCGACGGGCCTGGGACTGAGGTTGGGAAAGAGTGTCGAAGCGGAGGCCCGGAGCGCGGGTTACCCGCCGAGCCGTGAGGTCGGGGTGCGATGTGCGAAGGTGGCGGGCGGATTGACGATGCGAGGGTTGCGAATGGAAACGGTGCTGACTGTGGTGCTACAGTGATGTACGCGTTGAGCAGGGATGCGAAGTAAGGAAAAGGAATTTTCCTTACACTACCCCCCCCCCCCCCCCCCCCCCCCTAAGGAGGTCCTCCTTACGAAAGTGCGTGTACATCCCTGAAATTTCGGTTGCGCAGATACTCGGTGAGGACGGGATGGTTTTCGATTCTGTCCAGGGGAACCCAATTGTCTTCGGTGGGTGTATGGTCCTTCCAGCGGAGTAAGAACTCGATCCTTCTCGAGGGTCGCGAACTCTGTGACTCAGGTGATTGCGTGGCAGTTGGCTCGTGGACGGGACGTAAGGGCGAAGTAGGCTGACGTAGAATGAGGGGCTGACGTACCAGTCAGCAGGGAGGAGGAGGTGGGTGGTGACGGGTGTAAGCATGTGGCTTATGCGAAATGGCCCGCAGTATCGGGGGCGGAGTTTCGGGGTGATGGGCAGTCGGAGGTTCTGAGTGTCAACTAAAACTAAGTCATCGGGCCGGTAAGTGACAGGTCTGCGGTGGCGGTCGGCGTTGCGTTTCGATGATGTTTGATTTTTTTATTGTGTCTACTGCCCGGGTCCGTGCTGCTTGTAATATTTCGGTGA